TTTAACAGCGGTAGCTGTTAAAGGAGCTGTGCAAACAATTTCAGTGCTTTGCATAAAGAACTTGGGAGTTGGTGTGTCGACCTTTCTGAAGTAAAGAACAAAAGAATGAAAGACGTTTACAATCCCCTGTAACGCCGAATTAGAGCGCAGCTCTTGAGGAGGAAGAGGGGAAGGGGCGGAGAGGAGGCTACGCCCCTCATCCTATCCTGCTCGCCTCCCATTTCAAGAAAATTTTTCCGCTAAATTTAGCGGGGAATTTTTTCTGCTGAATTTAACGGGGAAATTTTTCCGCTAAATTCAGAGGGAATTTCTTTTTTGCTAAATTTAGTGGGCAATTTTTTCCGCTAAATTTAGCCGGGAAATGTTTCCGCTAAATCTAGGGTGGAAATTTTTTTCCTAAATTTAGCGGGGAAAATTAAGTTTCCGCTAAATTTAGCGGAGAAATTTACCCAGAATGCATCGCACGGTTACGCCGACGCCGACGGGGACGCCGCTCAAGCCGGAAATGGGCGCCTAAGAGTTGCGCTCTAAAAATGAAAGCCGTTTACAACTCCCTGTAACGCCGAATTAGAGCGCAGCTCTTGAGGTGGAGGGAAGGGTACTAAGGGGAAGGTATACCCCACCTCTTTCCTCCTCACCTCGTCACCCTGCCTGCTACTCCGCCACGGGGGCCATGTGGTCTTACGGTGGCCACGAGACCCCCGTGAAGTCACATGATCCCCCCCCCCCCCCCCCCCCGCTGAGGTCACGTGACCTCACGGTTACGCCGACACCGACGGCGACGCCGCTCAAGTCGGAAACGGGCGCCTGAGAGCTGCGCTCTAAGAACCGCGTTTGCCTGCATGTCCTAGTTTTTATTTTAAAAATGGACAAATATTGAGGTTTTCGGCACCTCTCAACTCCTTCACCTTCTTCAATGTCACGTGCGCTGTGACGTCCAAGGGGGTGGCGCGGGGTTCCGGTGAAGCTCTCTCTAGAGCCATCAGTGAGCGGCGAGAATTCATCCGCTCGCGACCACGTGCTGGCGCAGCGCGAACAACATGGTGGAAGGAGGAAAGCCTCCTCCGGTTCCGGCCATCCCCGTCCGGCTCTGCCCCCTTTCCCCTCCGGCTTCTAGCGGCTGTACGCGGAAGCAGATAGAGCTGACGGTTTTGTTGACCTTGGATAGATGGCGCCACTAAACTCCGTATAATAAGTTTTATCGATGATACCAGGTTTATGACGCATTTATATTTATGTTGGAACAACAAGATTTATAGTACAGTTACCTTTTATCGAGCAGGTATCCGCACAACTTGCTTTCTTTCTACAAGACCCCCATTGACGACATGCCGCGTGGTTCTCAAGGCCGCCGTTCGGGGCTGCAGGTCGGGGAATATTCTAATATTTGCCTCGCGACTAGACGGCGGAATGGCAACATTTCGAAAGATGTGTGTTTTCTGTCCTTTGTGACAAGGTAAACAATCTCAAAAGTAGAAGATGCCAATTCTTTCAACGTGAAAATCGTCGCACAGCTCCTTTAAAGTGATACTTCAGCGAAATTTGAAATATATCCGTCGTGTTCAAAAATCGGTTGAATATCAGCAACAATATCCGTAAAGGACAATCACACGTTTGTATTTTGAGCCTGGTGGCTGTATTTTTTGTTGTAAACGGCCCACTCTAGCAAGCGCTCGGAGAAGGCCCAGCTTAGAGCACGTGACATCCGACGCAATCGTGATTTAAGTCGTCTCGAGACGAGCAAAGCTACGACGAGGCTGACGTCGAGGGGATGGCCTAGTCGTTCCAGCCACCGAAGCGGCTGCTTTTGTACGAATTTTGAGTGACGGGTTAATCTTTTATAGTCTTGTAGGGCTACTTATGGAACACAAAGAAGGGATTCTTGAGAAGACGGCAGTTCCTCCTTCCCCTTTTCTCTCGTCATGGCTGGAGGCGAGGCACTCACCGTCACTAGCTTTCAAGGTTCCTAGACGGGCATTACAAACGAGGCGTTGGCGACATCCACCAGGTGCTCTTTGCTAATCGTTTAATTCGTTTTAAAATTATTTTTCGTGACTTCCTAACAAGCTATTGGTGTGTTCGATGTGATGCTGCTCCTTTGAACACATATCCACGCTTTACACACGCGCCAAATTACAGCCGCCATTGCTGACCTTCTCTTGTCTCACCGAGATGCCGAGCAACTGAAACAGTAGTTGAGGATCCTCTACAAAGGCCGATGCTTTAGAAAAGGACACAGTTGAATCTAATGTGGCAATAACCTGGCCTGCTATGGTAATGATGAAGCGAAAGAGACGAAATAATAGGAAACAAAAACTGAAGGTCAGTTATGGCGGCGTCAATGCACAGCTGCTGCAAAGCGTCTATAGACTAGAAAAACGACTCAGATGTCTCGGATGCAATGTATTTTAATCACACGCGCTCGCGACCACATCGCCGTTTGTGCTTGGCGATGGTGCTGCAAGCTTAAAGGGAAAATAGAAAACAATGAAGTGTCTAGCACGGGGCCCCCACAGGGCTCCCCCCCTAGAACGTTGCCTGTGGTCGGGAACGGGCTGCAGGTGATGGACGGAGAGGCAGGCGAAGTTGAGCTGAGCGTGGTAATAGGGCTGAGGTAGCGTCGGATAACCGCTGAGGTGAAAGTGGGTAGGCGTCTGGCAGACTGCTGGCAAAGAGGATCGACTGCGTGCTATACTCCCGTAGTTGCCTCCAGCGGAAACAGCGGGCACTCGCCGGTGGCTAGAAGTAAACCTCAGACTCGCAGAACGATGCGACCAGCTGAGGGGTCGCTGCAGGTACATTCCTCAGAGTCGCGGTGTTTATCTGACGAGCGACGCTGATGTTCTACGACTCAACAGCCGCACTGCTTTTGACGGTCAACGACGCGCCGTAGCCGGTGACAGAGTAGTGACGGCAGCGCTCGCAACCACATCGCCGTTTGTGCTTGTCGATGGTGCTGCAAGCTTAAGGGGAAAATAGGAAACGTCGAAGTGTCTAGGGCGGGGCCCCCACATAGACCTTAAAAAAGGCGCCGAAATTTCGTTGTAGTATCCCTTTAAGGGGTCTTCTTACCACTGAATATGACGTCCGTTGTTGATGTTTTAATTGTTGATAATGATGTTGTAGTAGTTCATGTCGCAGATGGCCTAGTAGGGCGTAAGGTGTCAGCCGGCAATTTGCCAAATCCCGCTAAAAGAACGCCCGCCCTCCGCGGGATTCCAACCTGGGTCCGCTGCGTGCCAAGCGAGCGCGTTACCTTTGAGATACGCCACAACGTTAACGCGTCTTATATCTCTCTGGAACAAAAGAAGTGATAATTTTTAAAGCGGAGCTGTTAAGGGTTTCTTTCCTCAGTTTCGTGTCCGTCACCAAATGAATGTCGACACAAAACTCTGGACAGCTACCGCCATCTATGAGAGACGACGGCAACTATTTCAGCCTTTCCACTCTGGCTTCCACCAGAGTGAAAGGCTGCATTTTTCTAGGCGTCGTCCTAGAAGTCGTCCTTGAGGTCCTCCTAGGCGTCGTACTTGAGGTCGTCCAAGAGGTCGTCCTTGAGGTCGTCCCAACATAGTACGGCTTTGCTAGTCTCCCTTCTTCATCAGAGTTGAAAGGCTGAAGGTTTTTTTTACGAACGCTTTTGTTCAAGCACTCCACACTGCGTGAACTCAACGCCGATGTCGAACGAATTCGCCGCAACATGTCGCTGTGAATTTACGGGGATTAACACAGGACTGCTCGACTTTTTTTTCTTCCTCCATCCTCGAACGGTCGGCTCTCTGGGCCTCATACCAGGGTGAGTTTGAGGCCCCTGATCAAGGGTGACGTCGTTCCTGTGCGAGTCTAGTAGTATTACGTGTGAGTCGCACCTGCATAAACCAAGTCCAATATCCAGGTTAAAAGCCGATTTTGAAAACGCGTAAAATTGTTCCTGTTCGTAAAAATACTTGAAATACGTTTGGAAAAAAAAATCGCTCTATTGGTCTAACAAAAATGAAATAGAGTGCAATAGGCCTAATTGTGTTTAGTGTAATCTTTATGGATTGGGACTTCGTAAGTAATATAAAGTTCGAGCGCTTCTAAGCTGAATGCAACAAAGAATGTCTCAATTAAAAATATATCATTCTGTTTAGTCCCGAGGCATGTCAGGCCCCTATTCATAAAAGGGAGGAGGGGCAATTCCATTTAAGCCTGGTGCCATGTTTGGTAAGACTCGGAGTGTCTGTTGAAGTTTCTGCGGGGACGCCTCACTAAATCGGGAATGGCACTGAGAAAAACGTTCTGATGTAGAAGAAAAACAGGTAAACCTCTGGAACACACCTGGCTTGCGTTCGTACGTGAAGAACCACAAAGCCGCCATTAAACCTATTCATTTTGCTTTCTGCGACCAAAGCCGTAGGACATGTTGCATTCCACCATTGCCGGCAGAAACGGCGCGCAGGGGGATGTGTAGCCGGGTCGCCGATGATACTCGACTAACACTCACACGAAACCGGAAGCGGAAGATTCCCACGTTCCTTACAGCATGCGCTTGCTTACGCACGAGGCATGAATTCTTCTACTGTAGTTGGATAAAAACACACTACACACAATGTGTTACAAATTCATGCAAAAATAAATGGGAAGCGTTATTACACCGTTTTTTAATGTCTACTACTTCTATAGGCGCAAGCTTCGTTGAATCCTTCGAAGTGATAACGCAAGCATCTGATGCAAATATTGCTCTATAATCACGCGGCCTGCTAACATTCCCCCAAATTGACACAATCTTCCCGATACCTTTCGAAAGCTTATTATGATGCGTTTTTTATCACCTGCTCCCCCTTTGTTACAGTCCTGGGTGTCTTCCTGCAATCATAGGTTCCACCATTCATTCGCCTTGGTGTCGTAAGTACAGTGAGCTTCAAAACCCTTCAACAACTTAAAATAAATGTACAAGTTTTTTGTTTTGTTTCCTAGTGCCATTTGAGGTGAACCATGTTAAAGTTTATAGTTTCTTCGGTGGGATCACGAAGGAGCCAACGATGTAAGGACAAACGTTTTATTTATTTATGCGTATTGCTGTACATCTCTCGCCGCCCCAAGACAATCGCGGCCAGAGTCCGTTGCACATCCCTTTCAGAGTCCAACTCCGTGTCAATTTTGTCGCACCAATCGCCATTCAACGAAGCTAACATGAAAGAACAAAACAAACCCGGATAAAAAAGAACACGCATAGATTTACAACAGCGCACTTAATACCCTTGGAATCGCGAGCATTTTGGTCCTTTGGTGAAAGTCGAGGAGACTAGGGCCAGAACTGGTGCAATGGCACGCCTCGCTCGGAAGCGAAACTGCCGTGTTCACCCCAAGTTTCAGCCGGAGAAGAAATAAATACGCACTTTCATTTAATCTTATAACAAACTGCCTAGCGTTCAAAACGTTTGACTTCGGGACAAGAAAAAGCTATTCCAAGTATAGACGACGCTTCTTAAAGTGTATCGTTGAAATATTACAATTTTCGATACCCTTTTCGTACTTCCGTCGCTGGTATTTCTTTACGCGGTAATTGAGCTGTCGCTGGATGTACAAAATCTACGGCTAATCAAGTGCAGTTTCCCGGGAAACTGTGTTCAAGTTGGGAATGAGTGAAAATAAATTAGCTCGCCTGTACGGGGGTCGGCGACAATACTCTCGAAGGCGAGCCGCTGATTTAAGTGAACAACCACCGTGAACAAATTTTTTCATTACGCGTGCCATGAGCTTGAGAAAATTCCCGTTTTAAGACGGGATTTGCAAGGACTTTCCTAATAGCGTATTTTGATTTTGTCATTAGAGGTTATGGCGCTTGCTTTGAAATCAAGGAAGCCTTTAACATTGTTTTAATGTGTGTGTGCGTGTGTATGTTTGTTTCTGTGTTGGATGGTTCGGTACTTTCTTTGGCGGTTGGCTGTGACTAGAAAGGATGAGATGATTGCGTCGACGTCGTCGTCATGAGGTTATGAGGTGAATGGAGAGCGTCTTCCTTAGGTTATGTACAAGTGTGACACGAGCTATCTTTTTCACTTTCCATGCAATAAAAAGCATTCTGACGGTCATGCACAAAAATGTAAAAGAAGAAAATAAACAAAATTTACACAAGGGAGCACCTCGACGACTTCGATACACAACATAAAAAAGGTAAGAGTCACAGTGCATCCTGGATTAAAAATATGAACGCTTGTCTGCCATACAAAAAAAAAAAAGAAAAAAAGCATATTTTTAGCAGATGAACAAACAAATCCAAAGTAAGAACATAAATTAAACGATATACTTTTGCGCAGCTCCGCGTTGTAACACTTGCAGCACAGCTGGAAACAGTCAGTTCATGCCGCTCACTTGTTCCGAAAGATTCACTTACGCACAACCAGTCTCAAATGCACGTTGTCCTTTAGTCCGTCCTCAACAAACCCTTCAAACTAAAAAAAAAAAAAAAAAGAGAGGAGAAACTGACATGAAGGGAAGAGGCGGCGCCTTCATGAAACAATTTAAATTACTTTTGAATGTCACTAGGTCGCAATAAGGCACGGTCGAAAAGCTTGCGAGTCCGTGAATACATACAAAGCTAAAGTGGCAATAGTTGACGCGCAGAACACTGCTTTCCTGACACGCGGTTTGAGCACAACGAACTGCGGCCGCCGCGGCGATGTCCCGCCTTAGCCTGTGACGTTCGCTAAGGCCACCAACACATCGAACCGGACGGTATGCCGTCCCAATCCTGCTTGAGTCCATCAGTGGGCGCGCAGACTTTGCTTTCAAGTGTACACTGAGCCTCCATAGCAGACGTACGGGGACTTGACTGTCATGTAATTGACTCGAGTAAGGATGAGGTCTTTATGAGGCGCTGCTCCGCCGTAATCTTCGGGCATCCCATTTGACGCCCGTTTTAAGGGCGCTCTGTTCACGCACTCACTTCTCCTTGATAATTCCTCAACCCAGCAGCTGCCATCAGCTCAACTCGTCCCCGAGTTTTGCGAACAGTGCAACGTTCACGTTCCGTAGTCCGTCGATATAGGTCTTCACCATAGAAGAACCACGACTCGCGACAACTTTGGCTCGATCCAGCGCGCTGCTTCCTTGCATATTTTTTCCTCGGTGAGTCGGGCAGATCGGCCGCGTTGCCAGAGCGGTCGAAGCAGGCATCTGACGACACGTACAACAGCATCGGGGAACGTCCTCGTGGCTCTTTGAGGGCGGCAGTCCGGAGGTCCGGGGCATCGCTAGACGGCGGTGGAGCGTCAGACCAGGTGTCCATCCATCTCGTCGTGAACAACGGGCCCGTCCATGAGCGGAGGTCCGTAGCTGTGCAAGGAAGCGAGGACGGGCGACAGTGACGCGTTCGACGTTGGGCTGAAGGTGGACAGAATGGGCTGGCCCGAAGGGTCCGCTTGGTGGTGGACGGCCACTGCGCTCGCGCCTCCTCCTGGCACTGGGAACGGGACGTAGCGCTGCTGCTCCGCCTTGATGTTATAAATGGCGTCCACACCGCTCGCCGCAGTGCGTCCCGGCGGCGGCGGAGGGTGAGCAGGACCCACGACGCCGGGGACCTTGCCGTAGGCCACCTGGGATGTTTGCGGAGCCCCTGTTAGTTCTAGCGACAATGCCGAAATATCTGCATTATGAATACAAATTACCGACCAAACTCTTATGGTGAATGATATAAGAATGTTGACGCCATGCTGTATAGCTATAAAAAACAGATTAAATTCTTGCAAAGGTATATATATACACGTCGCACAAGTTTAAATTAGGTGTAAAAGCAAGTCACTTCTGAGTGTTCCCGATTAAAGAGCACGCTACTCTTCAGAAGTGATAAAAAATCTTCACGCCTAATGCACTTCAATCAGATGCCGGTAAATGATGTGAGCAATAATTAGTGCATATCACCAGTAAAAATGAATCTGGTGGGATGGTGTCTTTTCCCGTATGTCGCTTTTACAACGCACCTTGTCTCCGAGCTTTTGGTTGTAAGCATTTCTGCGCAGGGCATCACTGTAGTACTCGTCATCGCCCTCGTAGTGGACTCGCCGGTTGGATAGCATCCTTCGGTCGATGCTGCCGTTGCCCGCTGGAGCCACTGCGTTTGTGAATAATGGCTGGTTTTAGTGAACGGGGCTGTTATCCAACGCTTTGATAGTTCATCCTTTGACCGCGAGGCATGCACTTGTAAGCGGCTGGCACGAGCCACAATATTTCACCAAAAAGTGCCTGTGCCCGCAGAAAAAACAAAGAAAACAGCTCCTAGGTAACAAAAGCGTAGTGCTGAATTTTCCCCGTCAGCTGCTGGTGTCAAGCGCAGGACACACATTAGACGAGAGCTGCGTCAGCATTCAGATGAAACTCGTGTTCATTCAGAGAGACCAAGATTAAAAATCAAAGGCTGAGCTATTTCTACCCCGCCGTGGCTTCCGCTAGTTACGTAGAAAATCTAGCCCTAGCACAATGGCCTCGTAATCGAGGAGGCGTTGACACGGATCGCGGTGATAGTACGTGACAGGACACTAGCAATAATGGATTATGATTCGCTAATGAATCTATGCACGAATCAGCTGCCACGCTCTGTCACGGTGGTTAACGTGAGTGCACGTGCACTCATATCAAAGCGATTAGCTGCCTTAGCGCTCTACGGAAGACATACACTCAGGATGATTGAAAAAGTCGGAGAAAACACAATCGAGTTGCCGATATGGTTTATCGAAAGCTCGGACAAATCACGGATCACACGAGTAGTCGGGGCGTGTTAATTCACAAGATCGGCACACTATTTCAATGACTAACACACGAACTTGTCACGTTTATGGATTCGTTACTCTCACTTTATTTTCGCTTCGGGCATCCAAACCCGTAACTAAGAGGGGATTTGTTGTGGACACGCGAGCTGGCCACAGAGATTTGAAGAAATATGCAGATCTCTAAATGTTACGCTCAGCGCGTGGGACTTCCGAGAGGGTCCGCGGAGTCAGGCGTTTTGGGAGTTTTCTTCGTCAGACGGAGCTGAGGAATGCAGACGCATAGCTTACCAAAAATATATATATATTTGCAGGGTCCGGTGCATTGATAGTTTCAGAGCAAAGTGCTAAAAGTGGTGGCATAAAAAAGTGTGGAATGAAAGATTGTCAAGAAACAGGTTCGTCCAAATGAACGCAAAATATTTACTATAGTACCGGTAGTACTCAGACTTCCGCAGACTTCGAGAGTTCCGAGAATTGGGCAAGTACCGCTAATGTTTTGCTAATGTACACGTACGATGCCAAGAAACAATTCGTCCAGTTTGACTGAGGAATGTTTTATGATGATGGGCACAGCGCCCGTATAATAAACGGAAACAGCCGCAGTAGCACTTGCTTGGTTTTAGCAACATTTCTGTGGTTTTGAATCTTAATCGATAGTGCGATCATTTTGGGACTTTTGTTGAAGGGAAATCGCCGCTATTTTCCCCAAATGACAATATGATGGGAGAAACTTAACGTTTATGCCTTTTTACTCATCATAACACCAATCGTAGTGAATCCCAATGTGATAACAACGTCCTCACCTTCGTCGGTGTAACGGCTGTACGGCGTGTAGTGCAAGGGCGCCTCCGGGACGTACGTGTCGCTGCCTTGGTCGATCAGGTACGTGGCGGCGGCGGGTTTGCTCGATTCCTCCTGCGCAAAGCCACAATTGTCCCACTTCATTCGTGACCATCGCCAAGATGTGTCGCACTCACGCACGAAGGAAAGCTCGGCTTTCGAAAAAGGTCCGAGAGTTTTTATCTCACATCCCATCGCTTAGTAATTATCCGAGCATCTCGGGATGTTTCATGACGTTTCCAGACGATCGAAGCATCTTAGAAGAGATTAACGTTTGGTTTAGGCATACACTGCACGTACCATCCAGATACTTGTGGCCCATCATTAAAATCACATGACGTCAATAGATGTCATGCCATTTTATTTGTCTGCAGACTCGTTGTGCCTCCAGGGGCAACGTGGACCAAGAATAACGCCGCGTTAAAGAACCAATCTGAACTCTTCTTTGATTGGGTGTTCCTCAATATCTTAATCGGATAGCAATATATATCTCTGCGAAGGAAGTCTACCAGACAATAAGTTTTACCTACGCTTGCTGTACTACTAGAGGCACGTGTTCAACCTGTAATTGATGATTGCACACCAGGGGCCTTGAACACAAAAGCTGAGGCTAATAGCCGTATCGATCGCCTTCAATTGCTCCGCGCAAGGCGGCATTCTACAGAATCACGAAGATTTCTGCGCACGACACTCACCGAGTATTCAGCGCTGTGCTCGTTAGAGTAGGCCTCGCTCTTCTCGGACGTGGAACTGACCGTCTCGCCGTTCATGGTCTCGTTGTAACTGCTGGGCGCGTACATCTCGATCGTCGCTGTCTTGCTCGACTGGTCGCTCTCCTCTGCCCAGTGGAGCGTGAAGGAGAGCCCGAAGACAGGCGGAAAAGAAGAGATGAAGGACATACATTTAGAAGAGCTGTCTCGCAGTCCCGAGGATTCCACAAAAAAAAGGGCTCTATATTTTACAGTACTGAAGTGTAAATGCGATTCGGAAGTTCTTGCGTATTCGCGACTGCTCGAGAACAAGAAAGAATAAATAGAATGTGGAAAGAAAAAGAGAAAGTATGGCTATTCCCAAAACGAACGCCATGGCTAGAAAAAATGCAATGAGATGGTAGATTGGACTAACGTATAAGGGTTTAGTTGCGAAGCTCGATAGAACAAAACAAGATGTAGCAAGAAGGGAACGTTTCGAAAGAGATCTCAGTTGGAATGGACAGAGGCGGAGCTTTTGAACGGGACGAAGACAGGATTGGTGCGAGAAGCGCTTTCGTGTGAAGCCAGGCGAGGGCTTTGAAAGCGACTCATGAGCTGGAAACGAAGGGTGCACCAAAGGCCCCTTGGATGTGCGATGCAGAAGGGAAAAAAAGTGCGACTTACTCTGGCAGAGCTTTGCGAAGCGGGACAGAACTGCCCGAGAGAAGGAGATGCAAGCAATGAGAAATAGCCGATCAAGGAGAAGAAGAGGAAATATAAAAAAAAAAAAGACACACAAGACATTTACGCTTGCAAGCACGGTTAACCTTAAAAAACGGCGCGCGTGGCATGTGTAGAAAGGGCGAGCAGGTGGGCAGAGAGAAGGGGGGTGGAATCCTACCTTCCTCGAGGCGCTTCTTTCTCCTCTTCCGAACGAAGCAGATGACCAAGACAATGTTGAGGAAAAGGAGGGAGGTTCCCACCACAGAGACGCTGGTGATGATGACCTTGGGGATGTCCATCTTGGCCGGAGGGGGAATCTCTTGCGTCAGCGCCGGAGGGGCGTCGTCTAGGGAACAGGCGAATATACTCAGGGAATCTTCTATTTCCGTTATTTCATTTTATAATACTTTACGTTTGTTAATATTGGCATAGGTTCGCAAGTTTTGCAGTGTGATTTAAGGTAGGACCCCGTAGAATGGAAAAAATTAAGACCCAAGGTCTCCATTCTCTCCACTCATCACGTCACAATAAGTGTCCGATAACATGCGGCGCAGTTGCTGATAGGCTCCACCTCGCAAAATTGTTATTATATTCGCCTGATCTTATTTGTGTTGCCTACAGCCGACGTTGGCCGGACACATAGTGTTACGTTTAGTGCAGTGCAGAGAGAACAGTGCAAAGCCCCTCTGTCCAGGTGGTGTTGTATAAGATCCACGATGTTTCAATTACTTTTGATTGGCCAATTTGCGGGAGCTCTAGTCACTGTCAAATTTTCAACTATAGGCCGAGAAAGAAGACACGGGATTTCGACGGTGAAGCGAAGCCGCGTTCCAGGCATTGACTACTCACTAAAGCGAATCTATTTTTAATTGGACGGTTTAGGTGGGATAAGGACACGTTTCGGGTTCAAGAATCCCTACTCGACTGCCTGAGCAGTGACGGTAGGTACGGCAAGACTGCCCATTGGGCGCACTGTCGGCAGACACTCACCGGTTGTTTTCCCCTTGACAATGTCCTTGAGGTATTCCCCTTGCCCGTACTCGTTGAAGGCCATGATGCCGACAGTGTACTCGGTGTCGTGGCCGAGGCCGCCTATGGTATAGTTTGTCATGTTGGAGAGCAGCACATCCTGGTAGTGGTAGCCCTCGTTGGACGCCGCCTTCCTGTAGCGGAGCCGGAAGGACTGCGGCAGGCCGCCGTCGAATCCCGGCCTCCACACGAGGGTCAGGCTGTTGTAGGTAGCGTTCGTCACCTGGAGCTGCAGCGGCGGGTCCGGGGCACCTGCACGCGAGAGGGGAAGAGAGGGCAGTCTGGAGGTCAGAGATTGGATATAATCGCTGCGTGGTTGAGGAACATTTGGTGCGGTGATGCTCCAAAGGCATAAACCCTTGTACCCTTTTGATTTGCTGTTTTGTCTCGCAACGGTACAGAACAACATACTATTTTTATCGTTCCTGTCATCCTTTTGAAAACACTTTTAGACCATGTTCACGGAGACATGAGTGCCGAAATCAGTGTCAGTTAACTGTAATGAGACTAACATACACATTTTTTTTAAGTTTACCCAATAAAGACAATCCAGTACGATTTTCATTGCACATGGTTGAAAAAACCCCGAGACTGCAGGTAAACGACACAACACTAAAAAGTCTCTAATTTTCATTCTCCAATGATTGGTTTGAATTCCCTCTGCCGATCTTCGATTTTGTTGCAGTGTGTTGCCAGTTCAGTGAGTGCTCTATATTTAACAGATTGAATATCTGGCAAATATTGCAAAGACGTTTCGAAAGTGGACTGTTGTGAAATGAATTCACCTCTTACCAGTGGGTGTTAAAAATAGATCTCATAGAAGCTTCAAATAGGCGAATCATTGATATAGCCGACGGGCATATCTATGATCTATCAAAAAGATAGAAGGGGCTGATTGTGCATTATTGTCGTATGCTTTAAATAGTATAACTCACCGAAAGGATGTAAAAGAATGATATAATGGGTGCGGCTACTGCTTGCCGAAATCTCCGTTTTAAATTTTGTGCAGGATGTAAGGCCTTAGATGATGGATAGCGATGGATAGGGATTGGGAGGGTTTTTTTATTAGCTTCAATTTACTCGAGTAAAATGTTCTTTTTGTTGCGGCTAATCAAAATACGGTTTATTGCCAAAAACAATCTGCTCAAGATATAAATATTTCAATATTTTTATTAAAAATTTTCTATTTGTTTGAGGTTCACTGTCTATGCAGCTTTTACTTAAGCCAGGCTCAGACTGCTCATACATCATAAAAGAGGCAGTCTGTAAACACGAGTCACCGGAATATTCGTGGCTCGAATGCCGCGTGCCCAAGTGTATTCTTCAACACAGTGCTATGCCGCAATCAAAGCAGAGATATCGTGGTGACTTGCGGTCGAGTCTGTATGCAGACCGTCTTTGTATGATGTAGAGACAGTGTGACCTCGGTTTTATGCAGATGATGTTGTGGCGTATTACGTTCTTTGCCTTTGCTTGATTGCTAGTTAGAATTGCCTTAGAGTATAAAGCATATAATGAAACTTTAGAAAAATGCGTTCTTAGTCATCATCTAGCAATACCCCGTGACGCCGTCGTCGTCGGATACTTGCTCTATTTTTCCCACTCTTGTGTTATATATCTTCCCCAAGTAAACGGTCATCAAACAACAGCTGTCTGCCTTCATCGCAATATCTCTAAACACGCTTTCAATAGTCATCATCCTCATTAATATACAGCCGAACGAATAAACTTCCTATAAGCCTTGTGCGATTTAAAAGAGGCCTCGAGTTGAAGTAGACATTCTCTCAGACTAAAGCAAAGAATTTGAACAATAAGAGAGCTCTTAGGCGAACCACCAGCCCTATTTCAAAAGCGTATCTTGATTTAGATAACTCCATAGGCAGAGAAACAAGACGAGAAAGTGAAGCAAGATAAAACAACCGAGGCCACCAGGCAGTTATAGTTCAAATGTTCAATGATGATGAATGGGCACTATACATAACCGTTTCACCAGAGAATTACACGCAGGCATATATTTTCGGTATAAAAATCTCACCAGCCAGTTTCGCTACGCCACTAGTGCCGCAATGCATCGAAAAAACTTAAGTCCTGCCCACGAGGCAACCTTGCTAGGGATCTACGCGCGGAGTGCTCGAGACATTTCGGCCACTGCCGTCCAACCCTACTGCATCAGAGCTAGGTACTCGATCGTTTAACTTTACTAGATCATAGTTAGTCTGCCCCAAGAACAGATGCGGAGGAACCGGTGGAACGTTGGATGCACTTTGACTCTTACTGGCTCCGTCTTGTTCTCTATTGACTCTTCGGCACTGATAGAGGGTTCCGAGATAAGTATACGCGGAAGAGAAAGCGGCGTAATTGCTAGAATGTCATTAGAGATGCTAAGCTGAGTTTCAACCGACGGTATAGACGTCGGTATTTGTTGAGGCATGAATTAATCTCCGAATATCATTGTGGAAGGTCGACCAGAGAGGGGCCCCGTGCAACAAACATTCATGTTGTGAATATAACACTGAAAGTGATGGCTTTGGGCGTAAAGCAAATAAATTCTTGGCTCCAAAATTGTGCATGCACGCAACAGTGAAATTTATGATAAGATTAACAACAAAATTTGTAGCGATGTAAATACACCAAACTCATTACGCTGAGAACAAGCAAATGCCGACCGATGTTTGGTTCTTGTATGCAGCCGTCCTTACCTGGGCTTTTTGGGTACGGAAAGTCAGGGATCGTCACAACTAGTCATTGTCCTCAGGCCGCTATTAATAACATGTAAACGAATGTAATAAAGAAACTCACTTAGGGTATCCAGGTGCACTTTGGCGCTGTCGAAGCCCAGCTCGTTGCGGGCGACGCACTCGTAGTGGCCGTAGTCCGACGACCTGATGGCCTTGACGGACAGCGTGCTCTCGAAGGTGACCAGGTCGACCTGGGCCACAGACACGTCGTACTTGTCTGGCCGGGAGCTGGACGTGATGACTGAGCCTTCGCGCGACCAGGCGAACGTGGCGTTTGGCGCCGCCTGGGCGCGGCATAGAAGCTCGGCGGTGCCACCTTCCTGGCCGGCCGCCTTTAGGTGCGGAGGGCTCCGGTCGATCTCGGGACGGACTGGGCACACGAAACAAAGGCGGTGCATTTAATATTCTAACCCGACTCTTCCCGATAAGAATCACTGACAGCCCCCACCAACAAATATAAACAAGAAGTCTTTAAGTGCTTGGATTAAACAAGTAACCACAAAGTATTATGTCAAAAAAGCGCGATATTTACGCAGCAACACGGCATCTTGGTAGGGTCACGGTACGCTCCAAGCCCCGCCCAAAGAGCAGTGGCCCTGCCCATTCCTATGATATTATCTTGGCTACTCGGCGAAACCCGTGCGCAAGCCATGCGTCTCCATTTCGCGACGTCTGGTGCGCCTAGTCTGCCGTCTGACACCTCCTTGTAGCGATGCGAGCAGAGGCACGGCAGCCTCCGGCATCGTCCGCTATTTCACCACCATCAACCGCCGCCTGCAACGTCCTTAAGACGTGACTATCAAAGCCGCGCTCTACTGTAGCATCGTCCACGAGCCACGGTTCTATAAAAGTGTCTGTCGGCGTTTGTCGATATGCGCTAAAAGCACCCAAAAGGACAAAAAAGAAAACTGTAACAAAAATAATAATGTCCATATATTTCAGCTTTTCTGTTCACGTTGTTTTCGGGTATGGCGTCCTTGAGAGAGGTAAGCGAGCGTCATGGACGCGCAACTAAAACGCTTACTAAACATATATGCTTTGGCAAGCCAGTTGAGCGGCCCAAAATTTGAGTTAAAACTTTGGTTTGCGCGAGTTGGTTGATAGTGTTTTAAAAGGTTAAAAAAAAAATACAAACACATCATGAACCATAAAGGCACACAGACGACAGGACGTAGCGCCCGTACTGTCGTCTTTATGAATTTACTGTCCTTGTATTGTTTACGCTTTTTAACCTTTTAAATCAAAACTTAAGATCTACAGGAATTCCAGAGCGAAATGATGGTGTAATGATCTCGAGTCTAGACAGTCACGAATGCCGAAAGATAGACGTCGGGGTTTGAAACAAGACACGGCTCGCGCGAACTTAATCAGCTCGCGTGTACTTTGAATAATCCCCAGTCTCAGGGCTTAAATATCGTGATGAGGTATTAAAGGTGTTTTCTTTAATACCAAGACGTTGCCAAGAGACACTATAATTTACACAGTGATAGTACAGTACATACACAGGTAGCCTTCAAGTTTTGAGAAGCGGCACTGGCGAACACAAAAAAAAAATATATATTTAGGTCGCGTTTCCGCTGTGCGATGTGTTCCGTCGGTTCAGACGCTCCTTTAGTGCCCGTGGAGAGACGCTTAAGAACGCTGACAGACGCTACCTTACGCCAGTGGATTATTTATGAAGGGACGCTAAGACGCCGCTACACGTCAGCATTAAGTTGTCAAGTCTCGCGGACGCTCGTGGGCGCGTTTCTTATATTGGTCGCGTTTCGTGGAGGCTACTGCGCCCCCTGGCTTAGAGAAACAGGCTAATAGCCTACCGGACCGACACGTGAGCACGAAATTTGGTAGCACACGATTTGTGCAGGTTTGTCAAGGTGAGGCGACCATAGTGTGGCTCCACGATGATGCCTGTTTGCTCAAACACTTGTGCAGGGAAAGTTCTTTCTAGAGTCATACGGTGGCGGCTATGGTATTCATAACGCTGAACACTGCCCTTGGGTTTCCCAGTGCATCTCCCATAAGTGCAATATCCAAGGCCCAACAAGCAGGCGTGCGTCGGTCCGGAAATCGCTAAGAAAACACAGCATACGCGCGAACGCCGAAAAGAGCACCAATTTCAATCCCTTTTCTGGATAGTAGCGATGCGCAAAAACTTCCCGCGAGATTTTTTTTTTCTCTGTGTTTTATTTTAATCAGGACAAAAGAACGTCCGTTACTCGCACCCTCGAGGTGCCAACGTAACAGGAACATGCCACCTTCCACAATCTGTCCACGCTGTATTATCGCCGTCGAAAAGAACCCTTAAGAATCGACGTGGATCGGCGTCACTTTGCATAGCGCCCATCGTTTAAAGAAAGTAAACCACCTTGCCAAAGCTTCACATTCGCAACTCTTTAATCTGCCAACGAAATGCGCCAAAGATGTTCCTTCCCATTTGGAATGCAAGCTAAACACCCGCCGGCACTGTTTTACCCTGGTTGGGACCTGGTTGCGTCTAACCCTCGCCAATCGCCGAGCGGGGACTGGCGTGGGTTCAGCTGACAAATAGGGCGCTTAGAAGCTCCGTGCCGCAAATGATCGGAGCCCCATTCCTGTGGTTCGGCTCACGCCCGATGGCACTGATTGAGCGAGGCGCTGCTCCCGAGAGGTTTTCTTTTCTTTCCGCAGGGCCTGTTAAAGCGTGGAGATTGTGTTGTTGGGCGGCTCAGGAATGAGTGGTGGCTTAGCAAACATCTATTTTTTTCACTGCTATCTAAGCATTATCTTGATGCCGTGGAGTGTTTCTCCACACTTCAATGTTAGTTCACAAATTTGCGCTTGACTGCTCGTGTGCGTTGCGTTTTCTTGCAAACTAACGACAGAACACACTTGCACTCCTGCGCCGTCTATCATGGAGCCTTAAAACTGCATATAATGAGACAGAAATATTTTCTATACTGCGATATTAAATGCACTTACTACCTATGTCAAGTGTTCGCTTCTAGCTTTATCAGAATTATTTGAAGTCAACGGTGAATAAATTTCAGGTAAATGATTATAAAAGTTCATACTCTGATCAAGAGGGGGACAGGATTACGTTATAAATCGTGACAATATGCCAATGTATAAGGAGGTTACAAAAAAAAAAAAAAAAAAAGCAACTCGCTCGGATACAATCAAACGTAAAGGCTTGAACCAGCCTTCAGAGGTATGCACCTGACATATTTACGTGGATGAAACTAACGAACGTTTATTGTTCATATGAAGATAATGAGTGTCCAATCTGGCTGAGTATTGCTCTTACTTAATGCAAGCTTAAAAAAAAGGCTGTCATTTGCAAGAGGAAACCATGACTCTAACTTCTACACCCACTGTGTCAAACTAGAGTCAAGAGATGTACTTGCATCTGCTTTACCGTAAAGCTCGAAGAAAGCTGATCTGAGGACACAACATAGAAAATGACAAAAATTGTTGGCTCTCAAGATATATTTGTTACTGGACTCTCGTGAGCTTGTGACTAACAGCCACTGCACTATCTAATTTTTAAGCTAAACTGTTTTTGGGGCCTCAACAATGAAACATATTCCCCCTTGCCCCCCCCCCCTCCCCTCCCACACACACACACACTTCCTCACGCCTCCTCGCTCGTTTCATCCGTCCCATTATCAACATGCACAGAGTTTATTTATCTGTATTTTTACACATGTATCGAACTATCTTAGAAATAGGGTAAAGTTGAGACCGAAATTCACACATTAGTCACAACCGCTTAAAAGGCTATAAACCATTTCTGTTAAAATATGCAAAGCGGGAACACAAATCTGAATGAGGCCTCAATTGCAACCAAAAATATATAAAAAAAAAAATTCATTTAGACTTTTATATAAAATGACCCAAGCGCCGAGGTGCGCATGGCAAGTGGAGTTACATGCGCTGCAAGTGCTAGCGTCTACAGCAGTAACTGTTCTAGATCAATACGAATACAAATACTGCTTTGGTTTTTGTGTTCTTCAATGGAGTACGTTGTTATTTAGTACGAATCATTTAATTAAAGAAGGTGACCGCGAGCAGTGCTTCGGTGCTTGTCGAATTTAGTGAAGGGTCTATCTGTCAGTTGTCATTTTCGACTTCCGTGCACATGCTGCCTGCTTCAACTAGAGCTACTAAATAGGCCTCGCTTTACGGTAACGAAGCTTGAGCCACCCTGGTGCTTAAAGTCACGGTTACCAGATATTAATTTTTTTGTTTTAAATCGTAGAAAACGTTTTTCCGTTCTTTAGTAATGATAAATCAGTCAGCAACCGACAGAAACATTTCTCCTTGGCTTCCGGAACGTGCACGTGGGGAGTACTATATTGATTCACAATTTATATTATTTTTATGATGCAGGTACCAATCACTAGCAACTTGTACGTATGTCCGCCCTCTCGACAGATTCGCCGTGTAGCCAAATGCCCATACACCATAAGTGTGAACGCTTACCCATACGCTACTGGCACACTTTTTGGAGTGCCTCGCAACCACGCATAGACAGCAGCTTCAAGCTTATTAATGACTTGGAAACCACGTACTCGCATGTTTTTTGTTTTTTTTTAATATTTAACATGCGGCTTAACACGGGAAGCCTGGTCAGGCAATAACCATGCGTGACCAAACGTCCGACCGGTCGTACGACGTGCCAAAAAAAAAAAAATCTGGTTAGACGCCGGCCAACCATGGACTCATGTGAATGCGCACGACGCAGCGATTGATTGGCGCCTGATCGTGTTCGGCCGTCTTTCTAACACGTCGTACGATCAGTGAGATTTTCGGTCGCGCATGTGTATTGCCTGATCGGGCCTCCAGTGGTTACCACCTGTTGGGTGGCATAAAAAAGCACTGCGGGTGTGCCATTTCGCGGCAAGTGATAAGCTCAAAGCAGCTGTCATACATGGGATTGCGGCCCTCGCTAAGAGTGGTTTCAGAAGGCTAATTAAAGGCTACCACACGAGTGGTGCAAGGGCATTCGGCTACGTATTGAAGCGGAACAGAAGTTGGACATACATGCACACTTCTAAGAGACCGGCCTCTGCGGCGAGAAAATAGATTGTAAATATATATGGTACGCTCCAGGTATGTAAAAGATAGGATGTCACAGTTCCGGATGGCACCTATTGCCGCATTCGCCCACTCCGCACTAAGATGTAGAGTAGCGGTGTCGACAGGAAAATCGGCGAACGGCGTTACGATAGTCTGAAGCCGCGGTCACACCGCCACAACATCGCACAAAACACGGTCTGCGGATACTGTCTCAGGTATCCCTTGTATGCTGTCCTTTCACAATGGCCATACACGCAAACTTTCTGCAGACATGTTCAAACCACACATACGTCTGAAGTAAACCTGTTTCAAACTAGCTCGAAGCGTGTCAGCATATCATTATGTGCCAATGTCTGCGCCGCGTCTTTTCTATGATGTCTGAGCATTACGAATCCGGTTTAAGCGCTAGACAAGAAATGGTTCCAGCCATAGCGATGCCGTTCTCAGGAGTCGCTAGGTTACTTCACTCGCAGCGGGGGCGATAAACTGCACTCACACTTGACGACGAGGTTGGCCGTCTTGACAGACTCTTCGCCGATGCCATTGTGGGCGACGCAGTCGAAGGGCCCCGAGTCCTGGCGGGACACGTTGTGCACGGTCAGGTAGGCGCGCCTGTCCTTCACCAGTTGCCGGGTGCGGCTCATGTCGAAGCCCTGCCGCCGCCAGGAAACAGTGTCCTCGTCGAAGGGCTTGGCGTCCACCTCGCACTCGAGCTGCGCGTGGCTCCCCGCGTCCACGATCACCGTTTCCGTGACGGCCTTCACGATGGCACCATCTGCAGTGGCAAGCACATTGTTCCGGGGTGGGTCGAGTATAATCTCTTCTGGTATTACTATACGCGCTAAGACGATGAGAACGGCAGAGAGGCCTATCAGTCGTTCAGCCAACAGCGCGAGCTTCCTAGCTGTCTAACGCTGCGAAGTCTCGCGAGGTTCGATCTGCACTCGCAGCCAAACCTTGCGAAAGGCAAGGAGCGCGTGCTGGTGGTCGGGCGTTGGAAAGAGACACCCGCGGGTCTCATCCTCTTAGTGAGTATAAACACACTGGCAGTTTAAGAAACGCGGGGTATAAAATTATCCCTCCGCGGCCAACGAGGTTGCGGCAATAGTCGATGAGAACGCGGAAGAACGAATCACTGATCGAAAAGCTGGAACGTAACACGTTCACCCAATATTTTCGTATGCTGGCACAGACTATAAAAGCACTGACAGGTTAGAAGGGATCATGGAAAGAGTTTCGTACTTCCGATAAATTATACAACAATAAATCTTCGAGGTATTCAGCAAGAGAAGTAGGCTTTTCTTTTGTTCTCCATGCACTAGTCGTTCCTTAGAAAAAGAAGCAAGCACATTATTAAAACATTCTGGGTGTTCATTTTCCTGCAGAACGTCCAAGTACTCAGCCAATGCGAGTAAACGTAGGGTACTAGAGGATGACGAGGCTGAGACTACGATTAGGCCGAGAATCGACACACGCAAGGAGAATGAGCAAGACGTTTCCTTCACTGAATGTCGCTGCCACCGAAATCCTCCTAGACACCTCAAGACTTTAAAAAATGAGGTCTGAAGTCTGAGATGTGACGCTGGTATTGATTACAGCGCGTGAATTGTTGTGTTCAGTCTCACAATGCAGTCTTTATTTTTGTTCTTGCGAGGCACCTTCAGCAGATAATAGTGAGTCTTTCTCCGAGCGTTTCGCGGTAAAGTAAGTTGACAGACAATTACGAACGTAGAAACAATCGCAGCGGTAAAGTAGACATGCCGAGATGCGGCCGCACAACAAGCCGCGGCCAGCTAAGCGGAGCCTCACATTGGATGTTGATGAGGATGGAGGTCTTGGTGGAGCCCTCGCTATTCTCGGCCTCGCAGTCGTAGACACCCCCGTGGCTCCGCTCCACGTTGGTGAGGTTGAGAAGCGAGCCGCGGGCGTACACGCTGGGTAGGGCTCGGTCGGCCGACCTCTCGGTGGCCCGGGCGGTGGCCACCCGTCGCTCGTCCTTCGTCCAGCTGTACGTGACGGCCGACGGGTTGGCCCGGGCCGTCAGGTTGATGACCAGGGACTCGCCCTCGACGATATCGAAGCGCTCCAGGGGCGCGTTGTAGAACTCCGGCTTGTCTGCCGGGAGGAAAGAACGAACCGAGGAGAGGTCATAAATCAACAGCAGGGTGCAGAATAATATCAAGAGGATCTTCAATTCCACTATTGATTTAAATTATTATTTTGATCATGATGCTGATTGTATGCTTGTGATTTATGATATGAATGATGAAATTTAGATAATGTGACGACATTAAGGATTTAAATCAAACCTCTTCAAACGATATAATTCGGAAAATGCGTTGTTATTTTGTTTACAGTTTGGCTATCATTTCATGAATTGATGTGAATTCGTGTAGTATTTAAATCAAAGAATCATCACGCAAGAACGACTCTTCAGAGCAAATCGGAGCGTTGAGTTTTACCTCTACATTCCTCTTCGTTCAACAGTCGTGTAATGTGCTACTGCAAACAAATCAAAACGCAAAAAAAAGCAACAAGGAAAGTATTTTTTGTCGGAAGTAAATCATAACGGTAAAAGAAAAATTTAAATAAAGCTTCTAAAGCAAAGAAATCAGGCTCCGTTTTGTTTTAGCGTGCAGATATTACACCCAGAAAAAGTTGCTAATCGATATGAACTTTTAATAACAGCAATTACCTATTTCTGATTGTTACACTATCAATGATTGGAAAGACCTATGAATCAATGCGCCACGTTTAAACATATGTCTAGTGATAAAGAATCGGTGTTCTCTAGCTACAACGATTTAAATAAAAAATGTGGTTTTATTTTAATCAAAAACTATGATTTTTCACTTTGTCAACGTCATCGCATGAGCATCCTTCATTTTCGCTTCTTCATAATATTATATTACCTCTACTTTGTTGGTTGCAGAGAAATACATGCTTTGCTCTGCCGCTCCCAGTCACATATTGTAGTCACACCTTAACCAATGCCACATAGACGACAAGGCCTACGCCTTCCTTCCAATGACGTCATCACTTCAGCGCAGTCTAAGTCGTGTCCCCATTAGCCTAAGCGCAACTCGGTGCGTCTCCCGACCATGGCTGTGCTAGGACTGAGCGACGCCATGGCACACGCGTCTTCTGCATTTCCGGGTATTTTTGTCGAGCTTGAGAATGACTACTGCGTAAGGCGGGCAGAGGATCTACTAAAAATGGCGTAATGAGCAGACCTTGTCTTGTAGTTGGTATTGCATTAGGCCGTAGGTTCATTAGTACTAAAACTAAATTTAACTGCGCAATCGTGCAAGTTTTCGAGTATAACATTCTAATAAAGGCTGATAGGTAATTTAAGGTATATGTTCAGGTTTGTTTTCTGCTATTGCCCAAACTGGCATTCCAACCATAACGATTTTCCAAACTCGTAAAATCCGTATGATTTTCTTTAAATTCTACATATGAAATGGACGTACGCATATTGTGCGCCAATTATTGTCGTAACCAGATGTTACACAAACTTGAACATGAGTGGAATGAGGCGCACCGAATTACGCAAGTACAGATACAGAGTGGCCGAGTTGGGTCATAAACCCAATCGGCAATGAACCGATAAAAATGTACAGTTGCTAACCGCCGGCAGCTTTAGCGGCGTTAGATGAGAAACCAGGGTTACCTTTTAGCCTTTAATTATGATAATTAGCAGATAAAACGCATTTTGAATTTCGCAGCTAAGCATAAAGCCATCATACGCAAGTGCCTTTTTTGGTTCTGTTTCAAATTTGATTGCGTAGACAGGCTTTGCCGGATGTGGAGCAACTGGAGTCTATTGAGGCTTTAATTCGCAGGACACATTATAAACGAGATACTATACAAAAAAATTATTTTTGAAACTTAAAGATTGACGCCACATACAACAAGGGCACAGGAAATGATGCAGACAGGAGGCCTCGTACTGTCTGCATCTCTTCTTGTGTCCTTGCTTTTGGCGTCTAACTTTAAGGATGAACGATTTACTGGCCCAAATCGCCGTCTTAATCATTTTTGAAAACACGCACAACTTAAAAAAAAAAAAAAGATTCTTAATGAATAGGAAGCGACTGAGGCAACCTTCTTGACAGGTTGCATTGAGCCCATGACACCTGTTTCTGAGACGTGAGTGCTTTGCCAGAAGCTGTAACGATGCCGGGTAATGGGAAGCAACTTTTCTACCCCAGCCAACGGGCGTCTAGATTGCGAACTGAACTCATTTACTTTTGAAGCAGGAAAACTTCTGGTTAATATTCTTCGTGAGTCGATCCTAATGCCGATCTCAGGGCCCTGTTTCCTCGTCGCTGCACACAGCCGGTAAAGTACAGCCACTTTCGAGCACGACGCCTTTCACGTCCCTGTCTCTTTCTTTTTTTTTAAATAGACGTACATCTAAGCATGCTGCCAGACAGCTGTAGAGTAGAAAACCCTTTGTTAAAAACACTTTAGACAACGAGGAGACTAATGTTTAAAGAGTCATCTCGGAGGCAGCAGGCATCAAGTGACAGTGTTACTTATCCTCGTCACAGCATCTTCCCCACGAAACCGACGTTGGCACTCGGCGTCTTCTCGAGGCTTCAAATGAGAACGGCACCACGTGGGTCACTTTGCCAGCTCAGCCAACGTAGAAACGGCAAAGTTCTTCTTCGAGCCAACACGAATCACCCCGAACGCGAAAGCTCTGGTGCTCGTTGTTTAGACTCACTATCGTGATTTCTTCTTCGTGCGCTCGTCTTATTTTTTTGTTGTTGTTGTCAAACTACATTAAGAAAAGCAAGAGGAGGATAAAGACTAAATTTTATTTAAGAAAAAGGCGGGCTTTTCTGGGAAGCGCGCGGATCTTCTTTGGGTACGCTGAGAGTGGGCATCCGTCTTTCGCTGCCGGCCCTGGAAATGAGGCAGGCACGCTCTTCGTACTCGCTGTCACGGGTCCGCATCTTTGGAGAAAATCCTCCTCGAGTTTTTCATTGTGTTTTTTTTTTTGTACGTGCGTTTTCCAAACTTGTTTCTACAACTTCGCTTCGCGGTGTTTAAAATGATTTTTTTCTACATTAAATTGTTTTCTCTTTTTTCTTTACACCGCACACTCACTTTTGAGAATTTACTCTATTATACGTGAGAAACTTTTTCTTTCCGCTTCGCCTGGTTGTGAAGGACCAGCAAAAAAGGCGACGTGTGAAGAAGGCAGAGTATGAGAGAGAGAAAAAGAGAAGAAAGTAACGAAAGGGTGGAGTGAACGACAGATACGCTATTGAGGAAAGAAAATTAAAGCAAGAAGGAGGTTGGAAAAAGCGAAATACAGAACAACCAGGAAGCGTTAAAATTATGTATTCTTGTTTTAAGATTAATTTTCAATATATTCTTTTCCGGTTAACTGTGCAGCCTGCTCTGCTGGAGTCGCATCGGTTCTCTTTGCCGCAAGCGGCTGAAACAACTGCTGCGGCGATAATTTTTTTTTTTCAGCATTATACGCAAAAGTTTTGCTCGGCACCTGCGCATACATCTGGTAAGTGGGGTTCAAAATCTCAGACAAAAAATTTAATTACAATTTTGAAGCCTGTCGAAACCAATTTGGAGACATACTAGTTGAAGGAAAAGAAATATTAACTTAAGCATAAAGCGTGACAACTAGAATGCACGATACATCGCTCCTTTTAGCCAGTCTCTTCTGCCAAATTAACGACTATCGTCAAAACTACTAGTAAGGTGTAATGAACTCCTTCAGCGCAACTACCGGACCGTATAAGCGTCAGATTTGTCACTACTTTGCACGAGTAAAGCGCGAAAAAGAGCCCATGTCGGAATCGCAGAAAACGGTGTCGGAATGTGTACATCTGAGTGATGAGCCCTCACCATAGCCTTCCTGCTAGCGCGTCCAGCCAAGTGTAATAAACTCTCCAAGCTACAGGGGCTAACTTTGGACTTTCAACGACTCTGCCAAGAACGCGCGTTTGAGCAGCGCGAGCATCATTCGGGGCAACATGCTCGGGCTTGTAGCTTCGGAATCGCTCACATATAACGTGAAGCGGAGTAGTGTTATTCCGAGAAATTTTAGCTTCTCTTCTGCAACCCTGGGGATCCGAGCCTCAGTTCGGCCTTAAAGAAAGTGACGAAGCAACACCTCCTACAGTACTGACAAAGTGCAAATTGGACACGAGCGACGCGCACCGCGCTGGTCTCCACTGAGGGACTTGGATAGTCCAGCCCTACGGCCTTGCAATCTACGGGGTGCTTCTCAGTCCCTTTAGTCAAAGAGGGTGGTAACAGTGGCAGACTTACACGTGACGTCCAGCGTCACCGAGTCGTGGACGCTGAGCTGGAGGGCCCTGTTGGTGGCCTGGCACATGTAGTTGGCCCGATCGTCGTCGGCCGTCACGTTGATGACGAGGACGTTCTTGGAGGCCCTACCGCCGAAGGGCCCGTCGACCACCACGTCGTCGACGCCTCCGGTCAGCTGTAGGCCGTCCTTCCACCAGCTGATACTCGACTGAGGGTGACTCGAGCCGGTCTCGCACGTCAGCGTCATCTGCCGCAGAAGGTGAGGGGGCGTCGAGCATGGGGATACGAGCAATGGGCAGAAAGCGGGATGTCGCATATTATTTATTTTTTTTTATCGCGCTATACCCTGTAACAGGTAAAGAATTACAGAAGCGTTCCAGGCTTTCCTTTTTAGCACAATAAACGCTGTAGAGGAGGCTAGAAGGACTACTCGTCTTTCACTCTAATGAAGTAGAATGAATGGAGAGGTTTGCGCGAGAAGCCTGTACTGCTTTGCTTAACCTGCATCAGGGTATAGTACGATTTTTTGTAGGCAAACACACATCCCTATTAAGAAGATACAATTTTGGTATATGGGGGGGGGGGGGGGGTACGAACAGTAAATATGTAAAACATTTAAAAATTATACATAATATGATCCTATATGCTTTCGCATGTTTATTGAACGCAATATTTAATTTAACTAGAATTGTACACTCCTTATTATCTCACCCCGAACTACCACCAATGTTACTACAAGCGTGAGCTTTGAACGCAGATTGAACTTTCGCGTAGCCGAGGAGCGTTAACGAGCAGTGTGCTCACGTTTATAATCTTTCTTGCGTTCCAGGTTAAAGGAACACTGAACTACAAAAAAAAAAAAAAAAGACGTTTTAAGTGTTTGGATAGAACACGGATGTCATAAATTATGGTTCCCCAAGAAATAAAAAAAAAATATGCGAGTTCTTTTATGTTATTACACTCGTTTTGAGTAAGAACCTATTCCGAATCGCGCTGCTATTTTTAAACGCCGACCACAAAAAAAAAATGTTTCGGAAACGTTTAATTGAGGGTACTTGACATAAATACTGAATAACATGATTTTTTTTTTCGGTGGAAGTTTATTTTATGACGTACGTTCGTTATCGAGGAACTTAAAATCTGTTCTTGCAAGCTCACTGATTCTTCAAGGTGAGGCGTAGTTTGAAACAGGTTCTTCGTGATCACTACACTAAGCACACTTTATGTCTAAGCACACATTATGCATGATAGCGAGAAATACGACTACTGTACACGACTGAATTTTCGCGAGGACCTAATTTTCGCGAATTTCGCGAGTCGCCTACAAACGCGAAAATACGTCCCGCGAACAATTCGGGCAATAAGTGAACACTACGGAACCTAAGCTCGACTCGCGAAAATTAGAACCCGCGAATAATTTAAAATTTTTAGCTTTGGCCCGATTCGCGAAAATTTGAGCCCGCGAAAATTAAGTCGTTTAAGTATACAAAATTTTAAAGAGGGTGCTATGGCTCATGCCATGTTGATTTTATTGTGTACAAGTTCATACTTGCAATTGTAAGGTTACACAGTTGCAGTCGTCACGCCTACTGCAAGAAGAACGGGCATTGCCTAAGAAACAAAACAAAAAAGGAAATCTCACCTTTTGACCAGATTTCGGCTTCCTTGGCTTGATTTTAATCGTGACAGCAGTCGGAGGGACTGTGGAAGCAAAAACAATATTGTGTAATTTCCCGAGTTTATTCCTCCTTATATGTACTACACGATGTAGTTTATTTTCTTGTTAATTGCGCTCCATGATTTAATAAAAAAAATGAAGGAAGATAAAAACAACCAAAACAAAAGCTTTGCAGCTCTTCCTTCGTTATTCTAATAGAATACCGCCACTTTTATTTATTTACTTGATTTTTTTAATGATGCGATTGACTAAAAGGGGATTATCTATTTTCTTTTAAAGAAACCAATTTATGTAACTTGTTTGTAGATGGCCGACATTATCTTTATTATTTCAACATCCGGCCGCGGTGAACGTTTGTCGTGAGAATACAATCCACTGAAATGGGCTACTGTAAAAGCACTGGCTCGTTTCAGCTTCCGCAAAACCGCTTCCAGTTCCACAGCTTCCGCTCATGAGCTGGAAGGACTTTGAGGTTACACTTTGGCCAAAGGCGCCTCCCCTCCCCTCGTCTCGGTTGGTTAACATAAGCACCTCGTAAGCACCGAGGCCAAGAACTTACAGTGAACGGTCAACTTGATGCTAGTGGTAAGAGCTTTCTTGGTGGCAGGGTTCGACGCTTCACAGCGGTACACCGCTCCGTTGTCCGAATCCTGGGCGATGATGGCGACTTCCGCGGACACAGAATTCCCGTTGGTCTTTGTTGTCGAGTTGACCTGCGAATAGACAGAACAACAGGTGATAAGGGAAGCTGTAAACAACGACTTCTTTCGGCGTTGTCTTCGTACAAGGTATCATAGCCTCCTCTATACTCACAAAGCCTGGCAGTTCGACGATGGAGTCATACAGTGCACGGTCGCAGATTGGGAGCGCGAGGATCTGGTAGCACTGAGCATCAAATAGCCATTTCTCAGAGAACCTGGACGTTAGCGCACAGCCTTCGCAGCGGCGAGGACCGGAAACACACTTGTTCGCTCGTAAGAAGTGTGTTTGGGCGGCTCGCCGCAGCGGGGCGCCAGTCGCGTGACTCTCCTCTCATCCGTCGTCTGCCGCTACCTTTTCCATTTCGGCGCCCGCTTTTCGTGGCGATCTGTCAGGCGTTGTCATTATATCGAAGGCTATGAAAGTAGCCTTCGATATGTGTGATAAGACGCTTCTCGTCAGCTCGGGCTCGGCACGTGGGTTGAGTCAGCAGTTACAACCCCGCGTCGGCGCTATCAGCTCTGGCGATATAAGCCGCTGTTTCGAGTGAATAAACTTCTTCTTGTTGTTCGCTGTTGAACTTCGCGTACGCTCGTCTCTGCTGCTCGCTCGAACATAGCGAACATGGTGTCAGAAGTGGCGCCCAGGCTGAGCCACCACGGATACCGGACGTAGAAAACCCTGAAACAAGGTCATCGCATTTCCAATCGACAGAGCCAGCCGTCCTGCGAGGCTACAGGAAGGACTACAAGTACGCCACCAAAATCTACCTCAAGTAAGATGGCTTCATTCCAAATTACGCCGCCCGAACCATTCAGCTTTGCAACGCCTAACGACTGGCCCTCGTGGAAAAAACGATTTCTTCGGTTCCGCACGGCATCTGGACTGGATGCGAAACCCGAAGCAGGTCAAGTCGACGCTTTGGTCTACCTAATGGGCCCGCAAGCAGAGGAGATCTTTAACACCTTCAAGCTTGAGCCGGCGGAACAAAAGAAGTTTGAAGTCGCGCTAAACCAGTACGAGGCCTACTTCATTCCCCGACGGAACATAATTTACGAGAGGGAAAAGTTTAACACCAGAACGCAACAAGAGGGCGAGTCCGTCGAGGATTTTGTTACCGCGTTGCATACACTCTCTACTACTTGCAACTACGGAGATCTGCGTGAAGATTTAATCCGAGATCGCCTTGTTGTCGGCCTCCAAGACCACAAGGTTTCCAGGGCCCTGCAGCTCGATCCGGACCTTAACCTGCAGAAAGCCCTCCTGGTGGCACGACAGCACGAGACCGTCAATCAGCAGCAGGAGGAGCTCCACGGTCTACGGGACGAGCAAGTCAGCCTGGTACAGGGGAAGAGGAGGGCGGCAAACTTCAAAAAGAAAGCCCCTTCGAATCCAAGCGGAGGCGACTCCTCCAGGCAATGCGGCTGGTGCGGAAAAGAGCTACACAATCGAGCATCCTGTCCGGCGAAAGAAGCGTTCTGCAGAAAGTGCGGAAAGAAAGGACACTTCGAGGCCGTGTGTCGATCATCAAGAAATGTCAGAAACGTTGATAACGTCGACGAAGAAGCAGGCTTCCTTGGAGTTGCATCTCACTCAGTTGTCTCAAAGTGGGAAATTCCAGTTCTCCTCGAGTCCTCCAACGTGATTTTCAAAATCGACACAGGGGAAGACGAAACGGTCATCCCGGAAGAGCTCTTTGTTCGGGTCTGTCCTAAAACCAAACTTCAGCCCGCAAGGCGCCGACTTCAAGGACCAGATGGGAAACCCCTCGCCATATCTGGAATGGCAACTCTGAGCATGACATTTGAAGGGAGCACCAGCCGTGAAGAAGTGTACAGTCGGGAGCAAAAGTTTGCGGGGCACCGGAGCGCGTGCCGAAATGCATCGCCGCGCCGTGCAACGGCGCGCCGCCGCATTAAAAAGCCGCGCTTTGCGCATGCGCGCCCTTCGTGCTGGCAGTCATGTCTCTTTCGCTCGTTTCTGTCCGACTCACTCCTGATAACCGGAGTCGGCGCCAGGGGCGCAAGTTGCCGTTTCGCTGGCTGTCATGCCTGGCGTCCTCTTCAGCCGCCACAGCAGCCGCGCTGGGCGACGGAGCGCCTGGTTAACCCCCTCCCCTTCCCTACGCGAGCTCCGTGACAAAGCGCGGCGGCTGAAGCAGACGCGCAGCATGACAGCCAGCGAAGCGCTAACTCGCGCCCCTGGCGCCGACTCCTGTTATCAGGAGTGCGTCGGAAAGAAACGAGCGAAAGAGACATGAATGCGAACACGAAAGGCGCGCATGCGCAAATCGCGTCTCCCTAATGCGGCGGCGCGCCGTCGGAGGGCGCGGCGATGCATTTCGGCACGCGCTCCGGTGCCCCGCAAACTTTTGCTCCCGACTGTACGTCTTTGGGGCCTCCGAACCCCTCTACTAGGAAAACCAGCAATAGAAAAACTATCCGTACTTGCACAAGTCGACAGCGTCAAAACCCTGAACCCCCTGTCAGAGTTTGCACAAGTGTTCCAGGGGCTTGGAACATTCGACGAAGAGTATGACCTCAAGCTGAAGTCGGAAGCGAAACCTTTCGCTTTGACGTCCCCTCGGAGAGTCCCTCTGCCCTTGTTCCAGAAGACCAAGCAAGAACTGGAACGAATGCGCATGCGCCTGATGCGCTACACGTATGACATTGTGTATGTTCCAGGCCGGGACTTGACGGTGGCCGACACTCTTTCCCGGTCACCGCTTCAAAAAGCGGAGTCCACTGAACTGGAGGACGACGTCCAGGGCTACCTCCACTGGGTGGCGTCATCAATCCCGGTGACAGCTCCCAGCTTCCAACAGATCGCCGAGGAACAAAAACGAGACCCGGTATGTCAAGCCCTAGTCAAGCTGTGCGCAAAAGGCTGGCCAAGCCGACGGGATGTTGGGTTGAGCCTTAAATCCTACTGGGAGGAGAGGCAAAATATAGCAGTAAATAACGACGTGTTGATGTGCGGATCTAGAATAGTAATCCCGTCGACACTGCGGCAAACTGTTCTCGAAATAGTGCACGAAGGCACTTCGGGATTGAAAAGTGTAGGGGTCGGGCCAAGAGTTCAGTGTGGTGGCCGAGTATCGATGCTGACATTGAGCGTCTCGTCAAGAACTGTCATAGTTGCCTTAAGCAGAGCACTAACCGAAAGATGCCTCTTCAACAGACAGAGTTCCCAGATAGGCCATGGCAGCGAATCGCGATTGACCTATTCTTTCTCGGGGGAAAATGGTGGGTGGTCATGACCGACTATTTTTCACGCTACCCGGAGCTCGCCCCGCTGAGTAGCCTATCGTCATCTGCAGTGATAAACCACTGCAAGTCCATTTTCGCCAGGCACGGGATACCGGAAGTGGTAGTATCCGACAACGGCCCACAATTTTCGAGAGCCCTCGGTGCAGAATTCTCAAGGTTCGCCAGGGAGTACAACTTTCGCCGTGTCACGTCTAGCCCCCATTATCATCAGAGCAACGGAATGGCAGAATCTGCTGTCAAGATAATAAAAGGGTCCCTGAAAAAGACGGGAGACGCTTATAAAACGCTTCTCTCCTACAGAACCAGTCCACTGAAGAATGGATTCAGTCCTGCGGAGCTGCTCATGGGCCGGAGACTGCGCACGGCCCTTCCGACATCGAGCGAAAGCCTTCCGCCCCGGACGCCAGACTTACGGAAGCTGGCGGCTTTTGAAAAGACGCAGCGTTGCCGCCAGAAGAAAGACTACGACCGACGCCATGGAGTTCGGGACTTATCGGAGTTGTCCGATGGAACAGAGGTGTGGATCATAGACCTCCAAAGAAAAGGCATCGTTCAGGGGCGCCCTGCGGAGCCAAGGTCGTATTGGGTCGAAACCGATGAGAGTTCTGTGCGAAGAAACCGGACGCATCTAATCCCACTGCCCGCGACGACTTCCGAAAACCGTTCAGAAACAGTGCAAGTTGCCCCGGAGTCGGCGGAAACATCCAGTGATCAGAGGACTGTAGCACCACAGTGCAACGACACGAGTCACACTCACACGCGAAGTGGAAGATGTGTGGTTCCTCCAGCACGGTTCCAAGCGTCGTGACCCAACAGTTTGCGCCTAGAAACGTCGAAAAAAAAAAAAGGGGGGAGATGTGTGATAAGACGCTTCTCGTCAGCTCGGGCTCGGCACGTGGGTTGAGTCAGCAGTTACAACCCCGCGTCGGCGCTATCAGCTCTGGCGATATAAGCCGCTGTTTCGAGTGAATAAACTTCTTCTTGTTGTTCGCTGTTGAACTTCGCGTACGCTCGACTCTGCTGCTCGCTCGAACATAGCGAACATATACCCGGTATACTTTTCTACTCAAACGATAAATAAAAAAAAGGGGGTCACGACAAAAAAAAAAAAGGAAGAGGAGCAAAATGTAATAACGTGAATTTAATTATGAACTGCGACCATGCAGTCTAGGTGGTCCAGGAGATATTATTAGAATGAGTGAGCCCGTTGTGTGGCGACGAAGTTTCTAAAGATGCTAGGTGCTAAAAATATCTGTGACGCCTCTCGACGCTCCTATGCGTTTTTTTTTAAGTAATCTCTAAGATTGTTATTGCTTATACTTATTTAAGTATTACGTTTTCCTTCAGAATAATACGTGCCATCCTTAATATAAGTGCTCCGCGAAAAACAGTTATACAAAAAATATGTTTTGTCCTCGGGTAGAACGTCGCTTCTTCAGAATCGTCTCACCTTATTTGTGCGGCTGTATTCTTCATTTTTTTTTTTTTAATTTAGCTTTATTTTCGTTTGCCCCTAGTCATTACAAGATCTCTGTGTGCACACAATCCTCAAGCTTGAGCATCACATTAGAGAACAAAGGTTCCTAATTAGATGCAACGCACTTCCTTGATGACTCAGCTGAATCGTCACTCGAATTTGTTTTCCCATCTCGAAGGTAGGTCTAACCACGTACCAGTCCGCGTATGCAGGCGACGAGCTCAAAAAGCCATCTAATGGATGCTTGATTCGCCCTTGGCTTGGCGCT